TTTTTTAATTTAAAAATCACTGACAGAATATATTTTATTTTTAATTAAAATAAATTTCATTAATAACTTTTTTAAATATAAGTAATTTTTTTTGTAAATGTAAGTTTTTTTTTCAAAAAATTTTTAGAGACTTAATTTGTTCAAAATATGAAAGTTCATTGGCTTTTTTCAAACTTTTTTCATTATCTTACCACATTAAACAATTGTATAAGTTATAAGAATATATCTAACAGGTTTTAGAAAGTTCAATGAGTTACTTAACAAGTTTTGAAATGTACAAAGACGTATTGTTACAAAAAAATTGTCTGATGACTTAATAATTCCAAACGCTAAAGTCAATTGGGTTTTTTTAGACTTTTCCCCATATATATATAAGCGAAAAATTGTGTAAGAATGAGAGTTAAATGAGAAATGTAAGAAGGGATTTGGACATTTGATCACTTTTAATCTCATACTACCCATGAATTGTGCTTCTCACAAGCATTGATCGGGTGCATCTCATTATTGTTGATCTTCAATTATGATTAATTCAAGAATGAAGATCCCTTCTTAATATTTTCACTATAACTTTCATTCTCACTGAAACTCGACTCATTCATATATATAAATATATATAGGGGCTCATTCAAGGAAGAACTAACTAGTTTGTGGTAACCGTGAGATCCAATCTCAACCACAAATCAATATATAAATTAGGAAATTTATAATTTTGTTAATTTTTAATTAAAATTTTAATGCAATGACATTTTATGTATTTTCTCTTCTCTCTCCTCTCTTCTCTCTCCGTCCCCGTCTTCCGGCCACCGTCCTCAGGTGATACCACAATATGATACTCAAGCACATATAAGATGCATTGTGATACCACTGTGTTATTTGTGGTTGAGATTGGACCTCACGGTTACCACAAACTAATTAGTTCTCATTTGATTAGGCCTATATATAATATATATATATATATATATATATATGGCAAATAAAATGCAAACATTCTTAATGTTACAAAACTGCAAACCAATATTATAGATGAATTAACAATAAAATTTAACTAAATATATAATTAATTAAAATTCGTCATTAGAGTTCATTGGTATATATGCATGAATTACTTATATCTAATTGATGGCAAACTTGATCATCGTCAGATGCTCTAATATAATAACATGTAAATAAGTGTGAAAGATCGTGTTTGAATCTTGTAAATGATATCATTTCACTGATAGATTAGCGATGAATTTTAATTAATTATGTATATAATTAAATTTCATTACTAACACGTCAGTAATTTAATTAAATTAATTTCTATTTTTTTTAATTTAAAAAATCACCAACAGAATATATTTTATTTTTAATTAAAATTAATTCTCATCAGTANATATATATATATATATATATATATATATATATATGGCAAATAAAATGCAAACATTCTTAATGTTACAAAACTGCAAACCAATATTATAGAAATGATGAAGGTTCATTTATTATCATTTGAATATTTATGGAAGATAAAATTATAGTTCATTAATTATGACCAACGTTTTATATTAAGAAAAAATTGATATATTTATGAGAAAAATATATTCATTAGACTAGATGGACGGTTAAAATTGGTTTGTATTTGATCGGGATTCTTCTCTCTCTGTCTCTCTCTCTCTCTATATATATATATACACACACACACATATATATATATAGACAAATGATCGCATGAGAAGAAGAGTTAACTTGAGAATGTAAGAAGGGATATGGACCCTTGATCACTTTCAATCTCAAACCCACTCATGAATCTCGTTTGATACGGAGATTGATTCGGTGCATCTCATCCTAATGTACATCTACTAGTGGAGATCCTTTCTTACTTTTTTCACTATAACTTTCATTATCACTTGAACCTAACCCTATATATATATATATATATATATATATATATATATATATATATATATATATATATATATATACGGGGGGCTTAATCATTTGAAAACCCAAAAAGTTATGATAATTGTGAAAACTATTATCATAAGGCATTGTTTCACATGATTTTTTTCCATCAAAGGCTAGAATTAGATATATTGATTTAACATATATTTATTTAACTATATGTTCGGTTTATAATGTAAAACTTTTTAGTTATATTTTTTATTTCACAAACACATAAAAAAATGTTCATATTATCAAACGATTATATGCAAAACAAATATATGTTAATCAATACACTAAATCAAGCCGTAGATGAAAAAATATCACATAAAATTGTATATGATGCACCAGTTCTCAAAGTTTTCAATTTTTTGGGATTCTAAAATGAAGAAACCATATATATAGTTGGATAACTCCATGACTACTGTTGGAAAGGCAGACGGCAGACCCAACAGTAAATGCACAATTTGTCACCAGCCACTTCGTATTCTTTGAGAGCATTTACATAGCCACAGTCACAATTGAAAAGGCCACAACGATGGAGGGACCAAAGAGGTTGAATAGAACAAGAAACTACAATTCTACATGTCGATCTGCATGCTACGTACAATCTTCCCTTCACCAACAAGAACTTTCATCTTCATTACTTCTTTTACTTCTTTATTTGGATACATCGAGTCATGATTTGGGCACCACACCAAATCGTTTCAGGATTTCATCACTCAAATTCTTCAAAAACCATGTGGGTTCAATTCGAATCTGCAGCTAGCTTTGTGGATCGATAAGGAGGTGTGATGCATGACCACTCTTTTAGAAGTATATATAGAGGAGATCAAGGAACCAACACTAGAAAATTCTCTTGGATCTTCCTGCATGAATTTAACCGTATATTCTTTCTGCCTTTGGTAAAAAATATGAGCAGAATTACCGTTAGCTATCATGCATCTACTTAGGTCACATAGTATTTGAACCTTTTGGTAATTAATATACACTTTGGACTTCAGAGGTCATGCTGTACCACCATATATGCTTCTTCTCCAAAGATAATTTTCTTTCTCTTTTGGTACCGAATTCTTTTTATGTTAGGTGAGAAATTAAAGCACCATGATCAACATGCTACCTAATTGTGCCCTAGATAAAAAGATGATAAAAGCTAGAGGAAAGAGGATTTCAAAATTCCAGTTAAACCCAAAGATTTAGTTAATCTTTTGCTGAATAATTACAATGTTTTCCTCAAATCCTCTTGGGTACCTTCCCAATTCTTTCTATGACCATGAAAAAGATGATTTTCACTTTAACTACCACCAGAGAAACCACGGTGACCCATTTATCTCCGGTGAATGTTTTTTTCATGCCAGCAACAGTACTGCTCTCCCTCCTCCGATCATGGAGAATGCCACTACAATCAAACAAGATTTTGTTGGGCAGCAGCAGCAGCAACAGTTTTCTGAAAGATCAGGGTTGCAGAATTGTGATTATCGTGATGATCTTTTAGATCCGGTAATTTCTCGCCACAAGAAGAAAATTGGGACCTTCAAGAAACATGGGCATAGTAAGATCTGCACAGCTCGAGGCCCTAGGGATCGGCGAGTGAGGTTCTCCATTGAGGTTGCTCAAAAGTTTTTCTGTCTTCAAGACTTGCTAGGGTTTGACAAAGCAAGCAAAACCCTTGATTGGCTACTTACCAACTCCATGCCCGCAATTAAGGAGCTGATTGAAGAAACGGGCGACTGCTCATCTTCCACAGTTAACCATCCATATAAACTGAAATTTCTTGAAGCCATTAATGGAGGATCAGATGATCTGAGTGACGGCAAAAAGAAAAACTCAGTACTACCCAAGCGTGTTGCTGGCAAAAAGAAGAAAACTAGGCGAAAATGCAAAACTGGATTTCAAGTGAATGTTACAAGAGACCAGTCAAGGGCAGAGGCAAGAGCAAGAGCTAGAGAAAGGACAAGAGAAAAAATGCGAGTTAAGAAGCTTGGTGATGATTTGAAGACCTTAGCTCCTGATGGTTGTGAGTACTATGAAGTAAGCCCTTCAAATCTAATACTCAAATCTGACTATTGGCGTGAAATTGAACCACAAATTGATTATAAAAACATAAGGTGGAAATGCATAATGGGTTCAGAAACATCACAGCAATCAAAAGATTCAAGCTTTACCAATATCTAGAGTATTTCATGAGCAGAAAAGGTGATAATGCAATTACTGATTTAGATCTGCAATTGGTGCATTACATACTCAAACACATATATGTAGTACTAATCTGGTGGATGCGTAATTTTACTGATCGTTTCTTTTTTCTTGATCATGGTAACTTTGAAAGGAAATGAGGAGAAAACCGTTAGGGGATCTTGACAGCAGCTGGAATTTAGTAAATGGTGGAGCTGGAGCAATAGTGTAATGATGTAAGTGCTAATTTTTGTTACTTAGTTCCATTTGACTACTTCTAATTAATGACTCTTAATTGATCTGTAGAATCAGATCTGACCATATTACATTAAAGAACTAGCCTTTGGCCTTTCTAGTTGATATAAAACAAGATATCTTACTTCATTGCCTCATTGGTCATCATCTTGAGAATGAAAACTTGTTTCTTGGAAGTCCCAAAAAGCCACACTAGTAGTTCACTAGACAATATCCAGACGTGGATTGAACACTTGAGCATCCTCAATCTTTTGTTCAGCCACAAAAGAATGGATAAAGAACAACAAAAGATTCTATGTGCTCTTTCATTACTTGTTCTTCTTTCGATGGAGTCCTTAGGACATTAGAAGAAATAGTTTCGTCATTCCATCACTCAGAAGAAAAATGAACTAGTGTTAACCTTTGGAAACCATGTGGGTTCATTTCTCCTGTGCTATTAATGAGGAAAACTGATTTATGTTCACTAGATCTTTGTCTGCTAGGTAGGGAATTGATGGAGGAGATCAAGGAACCATAAGTGAATTTTCCTCTTTCTTACAAGTGAACCAAAAGATTTTCATACAAGTGGAACAAATCAGGGTATCAATCACTAGAAAAACAATATATAGCATGCTGCATACCTCAAAACTAGCTGCATATATTTAGGTAACCTGTATTCTTTATCCATTTGGTGCTATGTTCAGAGAAAAGATATGTACAGTCTATACATACTATCACTTAAAATTTATGCAGTATTTGTTGATATCACACTCACACTCACAATGCAAAGCAACGAATAAGAAATGGAACTGAGAAAAAAATTGCATTACTTGAAAGAGCAAGTACTGGCTTAAATACATGAACGAGAAAACAAAAAAGAGAAGCTAACTCCTATTCTTAAGGAAGACTAGAAACTTTCAAAGAAAAATAGAAAATCAAACTAACTCCTCCTGCAAATCAGGATTTTATTCACGTGACTCGTTTATTCCACATACCTTCTCCTAAACTAAAGTAACATCATCTTTAGTTTATTTCAACCATGCCCAGTTCACCACACAACTTCTCAAACTGTTCGAGCTTCAACGGTTTTGTCATTATGTCAGCAACTTGAGCTTGCGTGTTGCAATACTTCAATTCTATAACTCCTGCACTTACCAAATCTCGGAGGAAATAGTACCTGACATCGATATGTTTGCTTCGGTTATGCATCACTAGATTTCTTGACAGCATGATAGTTGACATATTGTCACAGTTAACAATAGTACTTGCTTCCTGAGGCAAACCAATGTGTTCTAAAATTCTTCTAAGCCACACCACCTAACACGCATAAGCTGTAGCGGCTACAAACTCGGCTTCGGTAGTAGAGAGGGTCACAATTGGTTGCCGTTTAGATGACCACGCAATAGTAGCTCCACTGAAAAAACAGACATAACCCGACGTGCTTCTTCGATTATCATAATCACCTGCATAATCGCTATCAGAAAAAACCATCAACTGATCACACCCTTTCTTCTTGTAATACACTCCGAAATTTAACGTTCCCTGGATATATCTCAGGACCCTTTTCATAGCTGCCATATGTTGCTCTGTAGGAGCTTCCACATATCGGCTAAGTAAACTAATAGTGAACATTAAATCTGGCCTTGTAGCCGCCAAGTACATAATACAGCCCACCATTTGTCTATACAAAGTTGCATCAACGAAGCCACTTTGATCATCTTTAATCAACTTACAGCCTGGAACAATGGGATTTTTCACACTATTGCAATCTTCCATGTTGAACCTTGTAAGGATCTCACGAGCATATTTCTTTTGGCAGATGTGAATTCCCATCTCAGTTTGAACTACCTGTACGCCAAGAAAATAGTGCATTTCCCCCATATCTGACATTTCAAATTCAGATTTCATCGAAGTCTTAAACTCTTCTATCAAGTTTAGTGTAGTTCCTGTTACAATCAGATCATCAACATAAATTGAGACTATAAGAAACTCCCTTTCTTTACATGTCTTGACAAAGAGAGTTGGTTCATAAGGACATTTGTTGAAGCCTTGCTTGATAAAGTAACTTTCAATGCGCCCATACCAGGCCCTCGGGGCCTGCTTCAACCCGTAAAGAGCCTTTCTTAACTTGTAGACCTTTTCTTCCTTACCCTGTATTTCGTACCCTTACGGTTGTTCTACAAACACCGTTTCTTCCAGCTCCCCATACAGAAAGGCACTCCTAACATCTAGTTGATGAACTTTCATACCTTGTTGAGCAGCGAGCGCTAGTATGGTTCTAATAGTATCCCATCTGGCTACAGGAGCAAAAACTTCTGAATAGTCTATGCCCTGCTGTTGAGCATAACCTTTTACTACTAAACGGGCCTTGCGCTTATCGATCTTGCCATCTTGGTTTAATTTGGTCTTAAATACCCACTTTACTCCAATCGCTGTAGCTCCCATAGGCAAATCACAAAGCTCCCATGTGTGATTTTTTTCAATCGATTCAATCTCCTGCTTCATGGCAAGCCTCCAACATTCTTCTTGAGCCGCTTCATCATAATTTGAGGGATCTGACAAAGAGAACATAGCAACATTATMTCTCAGGTCATCGTCACTTGAGATACCTTCTCCGCTGACGTAATCGTTCATCCACGATGGTGTTTTTGTTGCCCTTTTCCCTCTTTCATCATTTGTTTCTGCACGCTGTGGATCATCAGA